CCACAGATCTCACTGCAGCATAACCATACCTCTGACTATAGTACAACGATAGATCGAGCAACAGAATAACCACAGATAAGACTACATAGATACCGCTGTGGTACAGCCATTATTGAGATCATCATAGTTACAGCAGTAGAACATATTAAGGATTGACTTATTTAAGTAATAACTTGGTATTTTCCAGTGCTAAAAAATAATTAAGTGAAAAAAAAAACTAAATGGAATATTCTGTTTTATTTGTGCCTATGGTAATATTCCACAACTCTTAATTATGTCACCATATTAATCACCTGAGGAACCTACAGGGCACAGGACACTGTCAGACGTCTTTCCAACACAAACAAAACAGGACAGGAAGATGCCATTCGGCATCCTGCAACCTGTTTCATTTCTCTCGGATTAAACACACAGGTGTGAAATATCGCAGGCTCTAGTCGCAGAAGGACAGTTGTCTTTACCCTTTCCACACATAATCACTGTCTTGACCCTTCTCTCTAGGTCTTCCACACCACATTGGGGTTTTCTTGGAGAATTTCTGGATCAGTGGGACAACTGTCCTTCTGCGACTAAAGCCGAATGGCATCTTCCTGTCCTGTTTTGTTTGTGTTGGAAAGACGTCTGACAGTGTCCTGTGCCCTGTGGGTAGTCTCGCCTACATGCAATGTGTAAAACAGAAAGTGTCACTTCAGTCCAGCGAGCGTGTTTTACTGAGTGCCTGGGGAAGCCCTGACTCTTCAGCTGAATGAATTAAAGATCTGCTTGACAGTCTCCCAGCCTGAGTGAAGCCTGAGTTTTCTCCGACAGTGGTGACAGGGGACATGGTGCTGTCACTGTTAGACTGAAGCTCTGACTACTTGGTCAGAAAGATCTCATGACAGTGTGTAAGAGTTGGGGTGTTGGGCTGTTGGTCCTGCTATTCGGACTTAATTCTACTCTGGTCTTGTACAGATTGACCCCACTAAAGTTCCATGTAACAAAGGCCACTGTGCATTTCACAGAGTCCCCTCTGGAATGTGAAGTTCTTATGGATCCTTCAAGGTGAAAATGTTAGACATATATAAAAATGTAAGGAATTCTAAAGTAAATCTGGAAAGTGGGAAAACACCTGTGACAGACTGACTCCAGGAATACTCCTCACCTGTACAGACCCTGACTGACACACCACTGCTCTCAACACTGTCTCCCACAGCAGTGCAGAGTGTGAATGTATATTCTCTTCCTGGACTCAGACCAGTCATGTCTGTAGCTCTTGTGTCCCAG